ATTAAGTGGAAGAGGATCAGCGTGAAGGTCTTCATCCTCATCATCTTCACATAGAATAGGCTGAGGAGGAGAAGGAGGAGGAAGACAAAGAGGAGGGGTTGGTCGTGCTGTCTCAGGGGTGGCAGAAGCAGGAGGAAGTCCAAGTATAAGTGAACTCGCACAGTTCAAACCTGTGTTGTTCAAGGGTCAACTGTGTAATGGTTTCAACTAGGTTGGTAGTGGTGGGAATGGAAAGAAAGGAACGGACCTGAGAGATACTTAGAGGGCAGCTGGCGGGAGATTGTGATGACTGGATATGGGCAGAGCGAGGCCGATTCTTGTCTCCCGAGAATCAGGCTTATGTAGTGATGGCCGACTGTGCTGGTCCTAGACATGAGACCCTCTGGAAGAGGACTACCTAGTAAAGGGAAGATTATGAGTTTTATTCTGAGCAAGTTGAATTTGATAAGTCTTTGAGACATCCAAGTGGAGACTTCAAGTAGAGCTGTGTATAAGGCTCTGTTGCTCAGAGGAGGGGGCGTGGTTTAAAGTTTGAGTAATCAGCATGTAAGTGGTGATTCATGAGATTGCTTAGGGAGAATAGAGTGGGATGAAAAAGGGACCTAAGGCCGAACCTTGAGGAACTTCACTATTCAAAGTAGAGGAAGCAGAGTCTGCAAAGGTGACAGAGGAAGAGCTTTAAAGGGGCAGGAGGAAAACTGGGGTAAAACAGTGTTGTGGAAGCCACAGGAGCGGGAGGGAGTGGTCATTCATGTCCAGAGATGTTGAAAGGGCAAGTAAGATAAGACTGAGAAGTGCTCATTGGGTTCAGCAACGTTAATGACCTCAGAGACCAATTTTGGCAGCTGGAGAGCAGAGGGTGTGAAGAAACAAAGACAATGACCAAAATAACTCTTGTGAGTAGTTTGCCTATGAAGAGGGGGAGAGCGATAGGAGGCAGCGAGTGGGGGATATGGAAATGAGGAAGATTTTATTGATTTTTTTAAAAAAAGGTTTTCAAATAGGAAGAATCCAGATGAGAATGAGGAGTTGAACATTAAAGACAGAATAGAAATAATTGATGGTGAAAAGTCCTCCAGACTGAGGAAGGGGACAGGGTTCAAAGCAGGGGTAAATGAATGGGCCCTTAGATAAGATGAAGGAAGGAGGGTGGGCTTAGAGTAGATAAGGATTTTCTTCTTTTATAATTGTAAGATAAGGACATTCCAATCTAAAGCCTCTATTTTCCTTGCAAGATGTAGGGTCATCTGCTGAGTGTGTACTAGGAGGTAGGCTGGACATAGATTTGTGGAGCTGGAGAAAGTTTGATAAGGCCATTGGGGAGAACGGGAAGCTGGGTTGGTCAGGAACATGCATTGGGATTTACAGTCAGCATGAGGGTCCATTTCAAATTGGTGACCATGGATTATGGTGGAAGTGATCTGCTCAGTTGTGACTCTGTCCTGCAGGGTGAGGTTTGGAGAAAGT